CAAGATGTAATCAAGAACTTCCAGACACTGCCCAAATTATGCTGACTCCTGATTTGTGGTTATGACTCTGTTCAAGTCAGCAAGAAAATGAGTAAACCCTTTCTGGGATTTCAAAAATAATGTATTTAGCCAAAGAAAAAAACAAAGAAAAAACATTTTAATCAAGCGCAGTCGCAGTAAAAGTGAATTCTGGGGGGAAGGCTTAAATACGATTCTGCATATTGTTTTTCTTTTGCTTTTGTATTGTTTAATTGTCAGCAATCAATGGCAGTTGGCCAAGTCAAAGCACACCATTTTATCAGCTTTTAAATAATGTTATTTATGAGCAAGAGGTGAAGTATACTCAGTAACTCCTTGACTCCCTGAAGCACAAGCTCGCAATCATCAGAACTGGGAATGCATTTGGGACTCCTTTATTAAACCAAAGGTATATCACATTTCGCAATACCCTGAAAGAGTGAGTGCAAGGACCATAATAACAGTCTATTCAAGTCTACAGCCCATGGCTTCATCCTAGGCAGAGACAGATCAAGCTGCACAACAGTGGAAGCCAGTCAACGGTGCAGCGTTGATAACCTTTAATGTTTACTTTTGCTTATGATTGTTTTAACTCCACCTGCCCGTCTCTCCCAGTATGAAGCCTCCGGGTCGGATGCCGGTAGAAAACATAAACCAGAGATTGCAGACAATTTGTTCATTTGTAAATTGATGCTTGTCTTTGGCAGTTTGTTTTTGAGGCTTGAGGAGAGTTAAATATGCATGACTTCAACATGGGTGGCTCCAAGTCTTTTCCAAAACAACAAACACATGACATGAAATCTTTATTTGGCAGAGTCAAACAGAATTCGGAATAGATTTTTTTTAGAAAAGACGACTCCACGTGAGCTCCACTAGTTAACTAGATTTGTTTGTTTCTTCTGAAATGGAGCTGCAGTGATATTTACCGGGAGTGCACCCGCATACCGAACAGGTGCATAACCTCACACACACACACACACGGGCGTGTCCTCCCATCTTTAGTTGAGGGTTGAGGGGGGAGACAAACCTAAAGATCGCCACAGAGACCCATCTTTCAAATTTATTCATTAAACTCCCAAATGCTCCCCTTAACGAATGTAATTAGAATATGGTAATGAGAGAGGGCTGAACCAGGGAGTGTTGTAATACGCTTAGCAGCACAGAGGGAGAGAAGAAGAGAGAGAGAGGCGGAAAGAGAAGGAAATAGAGTTAGAGAGTTAAAGGAGAGGGAAATAGAGAGACTGACTGACAGGGTGCCAATTTATGTCTCGTTGTAAACAAGTATTTATGCCAATGAGAGGTGGCACACACTATTTCTCTCTCTCTCTCTCTCTCTCTCTCTCTCTCTTTACCTCTCTGTGTTTCAGTGTCTCTCTCCTTACCAAACCTCCTCAATACCAAACCTCCTCAATAACAATAACATCAACAATAGCTGAGCAGAGACGAGCCTCAGAGGGCAGAATGACTCACAGTGAGATGAGGCATCAGGGGTTAACACAACCACTGGAGACTCCTTCATTGAGACCCCCCCCCCCTCACCCTCTCTCTCTCTCTTCACTCTCTCTCCGTCTTCTTCCACCTCCCACTGGCAAACACACATTCGTCATTAGAGATTTCAAATGTACCGTTGTGGTTGTGTACGTGTGAGTGCACCCTTTCTTGGTTAACTTGAATTTAGTTTTTGAGGACTCTGACAGGTTTTATCTAAGACGCCCTAGCGCAGCGGGGGTCCTGGCATTGTGTTTGACACCAAACACCTGTTGCCGTCTTTGATGTGTTCACCCCCCCCTGCTGAGAGAGAGGGGGCCGTCTCCTCAAATGCAAATACAAGACAGGAGGAAGAGGACAGGTAAGGTGCACAAGAGAGTGGAAGTCTTAGAAAAAATATGATTGATGTTCCCTCAGAGTATCGGGGCTGACTCTTCCTTACTCTCAGGTCTCTGCTCAAAAGTTTGTGCTGCTTTCCATACTGTGAGTGTTCTCACGCGCGCGTGTGTGTGTGTGTGTGTGTGTGTGTGTGTGTGTGTGTGTGTGTGTGTGTGTGTGTGTGTGTGTGTGTGTGTGTGTGTGCGTGTGTGCGTGTGTGCCCACCTTCACCATTTGGACTCCAATATATTTTGGCGAGAGGTAGATGAGAGGGAAATGTGACCGGAAAAAAAGAGGAAAGTGGGAGAGCGAGAGAGGGGAGAAAGTAAAGAGGTCAAACCAAAAAGAGGGAGTGAAGGAAAGGGGAGAGTGACTATTTCATTATAAAGCCGTCACTCACATGGGCAGCAGCAGCCGCCACAGAGACTCTTCTGAGACCAAATCTCTCTGGGTTTGTGTGTGTGTGTGTGTGTGTGTGTGTGTGTGTACGTGTGTACATGTGTGTACACACTCATTTATGTCTGTGCATCCCACCATGCATTAGTTTTGATGTGGGAGGTATTTTGTCTTTATGTATGTCCAATTGTGTGTGTGTGTGTGTGTGTGTGTGTGTGTGTGTGTGTGTGTGTATTATAAACTCTGCGAGTGTTGCAGTGTGACAGAGATGAATGTAACACACATGTCTCTCTCACAGCCAGGTGACAGGGGCTGGTGTCCTGTGAAGGTCAGACCTTGTCCTCCAATGATAGACCAGCACTAAACGTGTGTGTGTGTGTGCATGCACCAATCTGTTGTCCATGCAGCGTGTGTCACCGAGAGAACAAGAGGAGAGACAGAGAAAGCCAGCACAAGTTTTATATTTGTTTATTTATTTTGTCACACGAGCGTCTTTGTGTATTAGACGGTGCATTTGTATGCATGTGTGTACAAGTCTTTTATGTCCACGGACACATGCATGTGTGTGTCGGCCAGTGTGTGATGAGGTGTTTATATGATAAACACAAGGCAAGCTTGAGAGGAATTCTGATCAGGGGCTTTGCAACAGTTGTTATGGAAACAGCATTAAGCAGTTGTATTAGCCAGTGGTGGTAATATAAAGGCTGTTGAAAGTAACACACAGTGGGGAGCCAGGCAGTTTGGGAATATAATACAAACTAAACATTATTGCTCCGGTTTACAATGGACTTGATGGAATTTTATTGTGTGACTAGAACAGAGCAAAATGATCCTCATCATAACTCGTTGTTTGGCTCTCTTTCTGTCGAGAGCTACACATTTTAATTAGCCAGGTTAGAGGAACAAAGTGCAAACAAGACATTATTGGTATGATTTACAACAGTCCTCACATCATTTATGCCAGCTTAAAGCTGAACACGAAGAAAAGTAGCCGACATTGGTCCTTTTAGAGGTCACTGTTTCTGAGAGATCAGTCCTCTCACATTTCTGTCAACAACTGTGAATAAGGACATGCATATACGGACACCTCTCAAATCTAGTAGATTATTGATTATTGCAGTTCAAATCTAATTGTACGTGTTTAGCTTAATTTACACGACGAGCCTTTGACGGAGACATGTTTAAAAATAGACCATGATCAATAAAATGTGGGTTGACCAGACGCCTGACATGGTGCTCAGGATCAAAATAACAACCACGGAGAAGCCTGTAGTCTGCAGAAAAAAAAGGAAGATAAAAAACGGGAGGCAATTTTAGATAGAGTGTCTATCAACGTCAGACACTGACAGAGTTGTTCTGGGAAGTAGAGAACCGGCGGAGGTGCTCAGGAACAAATTACAGCATCAGCAGACCTCCCCTGGTAATGCCAATGCAGATATTTCCCTCATATATGCATACAAGACTTACCATGCGCAAAGAGAAAGGCAGGAAAAGGATTCTGTAGTTGAAAAGGGGCACTTCAGTTTGCAACCTCCCCGTGCCGCCAAAATAAACCGTTCAATGCCAAATTATTTCTGTGGTGAGAACCAGCGACAGCCTTCATTTGAGGCACTTTGAATGGATGTGACAGTTCCAGTTTACAGACAACTCTGTTTTCCCCAGATCTCTGTCGGGGTGATGCTCATCATTAGACTTCAAAACGTGCATGCACACAAACACACACACGCACGCGCGCACATACACACACGCTAGCC